ATGTAGGTTCCACGACAGGAACTGGCAACATTGCTGCTGACGTTTTTTGAATGGCAATCCCAAATTCAAATTGAAACCCTACTGAATAGCTAAGTTTACTGTTGATTTATGTGTATAATATAGAAGCAGCTGTTTATTTTCAGCATGCTTTCTGGTTCACATCTGTCTGGGTTATTTCTAAGAGGCACCATGCAGGGTATAAGCATAGGGAGGACACAGATGCTCAAGTCTGATAAACAATTGGCTCATTCTGCCTCAATGGATAGATTCAGAAAGCTTATTAGTCATTGAATAAATATGTTGCATTAGGGGATGATTATGTTTACAAACACTGTATCTTGTCCTGGAATAAACAGAAGTTGTGCTTGCCTTCATTAATGTGCACAGAAGTAGTTGGCATATATAAGGCACTCAAAAAAGTGTGTGGGGTGAGCCTGCCTCTGTTATATTTAATGTTTCATTATCGTAGATGCCAGGACCCCCTCTTCAGATATTGTTCAGAATCTGCCTAATGAGACACTGGTTCCACTTCCTGCCTCAACTTACATAACAACGAGACGGTCATCAGTCAGGTTGGTAGAAATTAACCTGAACATGCGATTCCCATCCATTTTTGTGAAGTGTTTGTTGCTGGGGGTCTCACCAGGCACCTTTGGGCTCTTCTAATGCAACATATTTATTATGGATTTGGAGCCCAGGGCAATGGTCTGGGCTGGTAACTCAGATTTAGGAAATTATGAGCATGTAACTGACCTGTGCTACACGCGACAGCCTGAAATGTAAGCACAGGACACCTTTACCACACGGTAACTTCTCAAACTCCTCTTTTCAGTGAAATGCTCCCAGCTGCTTTTCCTTCTTGTTGACTTTTATGTCAAGCTATGTAGTGGGGACGAAAGCAGGGCCAGGAACAGGGGGAGCGGGGAGATCAGATGTCATTGGATTGAGCGATTCTAAGCAACTAGTTTAAGGGATGGAGTCTGAGATCAGTGAGTATTTGAAACTCATCCTGGCACATTGTCCTCTTGTCTTTGTCTCTCATCAAGGCCTTTATATTCTAGCACCTTCTCTTAGGCCCCTTTAGTTAGGGTTTAGTTTGAAAGATCTGGAATTCTTGAAGCATTTATAACTTTTATAACATGGTATAAACCTTTTTTATAACATAATACTGCATAATGGAGAGGCTGTATCCTCATTTATTAATTATATAAATCATAAGCAGCACTCCATAAGCCCAAGCCTTTTCTGACATCTGTCCTGAAATGTCTCACAAGTACTTCAAACTTGATGTGTGCAGAAGTGACCTCATTTTCTCCCAAGTTGACAGTCCTCAAGCTGCATGATATTGCTTCTTGTGCCCCAGAGGACTTCTGGCAATGTCTGAGACATTTTTGATTGTCCTGAGATGGTGGGGGTGGGGGTGGTGAGTGGGTAGAAACGATAGATGCTAAACATCCTACAGTGTATAGGACAGCCTCCCCCAACAATGAATTATCCAGACCTAAGTGTTGATTGTGCTGAGGGTGAAACACTCAGCTCTAAATATTCATTTTTCATAAACGGAAAGTTTAACACAACACTTCTTTTTCTTTCCTCACCCAATTGGTCATCAAGCCCTTTCAACTTTTCAATGTCTCAAATCTAGATCCTCTTCTGTGTAAGACCAGCAGTTCCCAACCTTTTTTGTACCAGGTATCGGTTTCATGGAAGACAACTTTTCCATGGACCAGGGGGGAGGCAGAAGGGATGATTTCAGGATGATTCAAGTGCGTTACATTTATTGCGCAGTCAAACCTCTCTGCTAATGGTAATCTGCATTTGCAGCTGCTCCCCAGCACTAGCATCACCGCCTCAGCTCCACCTCAGATCATCAGGCATTAGATTCTCATGAGGAGCGTGCAACCTCGATCCCTTGCATGTGCAGTTTACAGTAGGGTTCGCACTCCTATGAGAATCTAATGCCACCGCTGATCTGACAGGAGGTGGAGCTTATGCGGTGATATGAGCGATGGGGATCAGCTGTAAATACAGATGAAGCTTCACTTGCTCTGCACCCCCCTCAGACGCCCCGCCCCCCCACCCCCGCCGCTCCTGTGCAGCCTGTTTAACAGGCCATGGACCGGTACTAGTCTGTGGCCTGGAGGTTGGGGACTGCAGTGCAAGACCATCTCTTGGTTCATGCCTCCATCATCACTCACCTGGACTGCTGTACGTGTCCTTCTCTGTCGCTCATTCTCCACAATGCTGGGTGACTAATCTTTTTGACACGCAGATTTCCTTTTGTCACTGTCTACCTATCCGTTGTTTTTCAGACTCTCCCTGCCACACACAAGTCCCTCAGATTGGAGAACTCTGTTCTGTCCTCCAAGCCTCTGGTCTCATCTCTGACCATTCTTCTCCCTGTCCCCTAATTACAGCCATACTAGATTTCTTGTAGCTTCCGGAATATACCTTGTCTCACATATGCCTGTGCCTTTGCACAATCATCCTCCCTCTGCTTGGAAAACACTTGCAGCCATCCTCCCTGGCAGCCTTACCCTCTCTCTCCACCCCTAGTCTGGGTGGAGTACTTTTCCTAGCTATACAGGCCATTTTCAGAACTTCTCTCTACTATTTTGCACCCTACTCTGTGTCCCAGGTGCAGGGTAGGACCTCTGGGGACTGCATCAAAGGGTTCCCTTGCTCTGGGGCTTCTGGCTGGGTTTGGCTTATGGGAGTTACCAGCAAGAGACCAGAGAGTGGAAGAGAGAGAGACCGGGGCATTTATTCCTCCTGCTACTTCCCTGTTGGGCAGCAGCTGTCTTCTGTCATCTAAGCCCACACTTCCCACCTGGTAGCCCTCCACTGCATCCCCAGTTCTTGTTGGGTTCCACTAAACTTCTCTTTCAACTATTGCTAACCTTGCGGTGTTTCTTCCTAAATAGCCTCCTCCTTAAATCCTCTTCAATCATGCCTTTTGAGTGTGGCATCTACAGACGGTCTCCAACTTAATGATGGTTTAAATTATGATTTTTTGACTTTACAATGGTGTGAAAGTGACATGAGTTGAATAGAAAGTGGCAAGACACTCTCTCTGCATGCTGGGCAGCAGCAGCAAACCACAGCCACACGGTCATGAGGGTAAACAGCCAACACTGTACGGTGTACTGTGCTGCCAGACGATTTTGTCCAACTGTAGGCTGATGAAAGCATTCTAAGCGCATTTAAGGTAGGCTAGGCTAAGCTACGACATTTCATAGGCGTATTAAATGCATTTTTGGTTTACAGTATCTTCAACATAGGAAAGGTTTGTCAGGACACAACCCCAAGCTGAGGAGCATTTATATTTCCTGCCATGACCCTTGATCATATGTTCCTGCAACACCAAAGCACTGTACTGTAATTGCTTTTTAAAAAATATATTTGTTTTCCCTTCTGGACTGTGTGTTCTTTGAGGGTGAGGACTATTTCTTTTCTGTTGTATCTTAGTAGCCGGGCATAGAGTTATGATAGGGGCTCTCGTGGAATGAATGAAAGAAGAAATATGTAAATGAATATTCTCATCATCCCTTCTCTACACATCCCTTAAGGTTGTGACTATTAAGATTCCCAGAAAGACTCCACAGTCACTTGAGATGTGCAGAATCAGATCACGTGGGTATCTTATTTCAGCACAAAGGTCCCTGTCCAGACAGCCTGGCGAACATGACAAACTTTTGGCTGAGCTACCTGGAGCATGAAGAGGCCCTGCCAGGAGGAATATAAGTAGGAAAACAAAGCAAAACAACATGCCTTGCTCTGCAGTGGACTTATCTGATAACCAGCCTGGGGGTGGGGGTGGGATTTGGACAGGACCTTTGGCAGCACAAGGGCAACACAGCTCTGCTAGTGATTCACGGGGCCTGGGGAAGGCATCTCTGCACCTCAGTTTCCCCATCTGTAAGTCAAGGTTGGGCTAGATGATTCTTAATGGCCCTTGCAACACTGACATTGTAGTGGACATCTGTAGATTTTGCCTTTCAAATGTCCAGTCCTCTGTGTTTTTGGTAAGAGATGCTTCCCTTCTGTCAGCTCATGTGGTCAGATGAGCTGATTTCACTCCTGACTTCAAGGGTGGGCATCAGATCCCCCTGGACAGTGTGGTGATTCAGGGATAGGCACATGGCCCAAGCCTGGCCAAACAGAGTATTCCATTTCTTTCAGCCATGAGGTTAGGCTCAGGAATGGGCACGTGATCTCAGTTCTGAGATGTTTAATTGTGACAGGAGAAAATCTTTATTTATGCCAGGGTCGCTTAAGAGGACATAATTCAGGAGCTGCTGGCAAGTGTCCTGCCATGACAAAGGGAGAACTTGCTTGATATAATGGAGCCAACGCTGAAGAAAACAGGACCAAGGGACAGAGAGAACCAGACTGGGTCCTGATGACACTTGGAGCCCCTGGATACAGCTGCACCTGAAACCAGGTACCTGTGTACTCCTTAATTATAAGAGCCAATAGATTCCATTCCCTGCTCATGCAGCTTAAGGTAGTTTGAGTTGTGGTCTCCACCATTTGTGACCAAAGGAGTCCTGACCTATATATAGAAACCCACTGTTCCTTTAAATTTTAGTTATAAGAAGTCAGACACAAAAGGCTACATATTATATAATTCCATTTATAAGAAATGTCCAGAAGAAGCAAATCCATAGAGACAGAAAACAGTAGTTCCCAGGGCCTGGGAAGAGGGGCAAATGGGTAGTGACTGCCAGTGAGCACCAGATCTCTTTTTGGGGTAATGAAAATGTCCAGGAATTAGATGGTGGTGATGGTTGCACAACTCTGCAGACACTAAAAACCCCACTGAACTGTACACTTTTAAATAGTGAATCTCGTGTGTGAATTGTATCTCAATTAAAATAATAGAAAAGAAATTTCATTATAGTCATCGGAGTTCCCCCAGGGAGCAAAGCGAAGTACTTGATCCCTCTCAACTTTCCTTGCCATGGGGAATAGAGGTTACCAAAGCAAACACTGCCGAATTGAAAATGCTTTATTTCGGGGAAATACAAAAGGTAGTGCCATACAAGGGAAAGAAATGTTACTGGTATAACAGAAGAAATGGTTACCTAGTTTGGTTCTGCTTTCTGACTACAAATGTGAATGGGGAATCTCAGTGTTGAAGGTAAAACATGACAAGCACAAAACTATAGTTTGTCAGGGACTGGATTCCTTCATTTGATCTAGAAACTATGAAATAACCAGTGGCAGCATCCTTGAGCTGTAGCATCCGTCTCAACACAAAGCTCCTCTGTTTCATTTGCCAGATGACCAGGCATCATACACTAGTTTGGCGGCAACCGTATCTTCTATTGCCATTCCTGGAATGGACAGAAATTTGGTTCACCTTTTGTCAGAATTAGTCTCCCTGAAGCCACCCAGGCCCCGTGGCTGGCAGTTTTCTGATGCGTGTCTGTGCTGATGCCCGGGCAGGATAATGGGGGCTGGTCCCCAGAGGTGAGCTCAGGCTTGGAGGGCACATCAAGGCAGGGAACGTGATACTAAGCAAGAAATGCCCCCCAAACGAATTTTGTATCCTTCAAGGTCTAGTTAAGGGTTCAAAAAACTTTCTGTAAAGGGTCAGACAGTAAATATTTCAGGCTTTGTGGGCCACGTGGTCTCTGTCACAATTATTCAATTCTGCCTTTGGAGTAGAAGAGTACCCATAAGCAGTAGGTAAAAGAAATGAGCCTGACTGTGATCCAGGAACACTTTATTTATAGGCACTGAAGTTTGAATTTCATGTCATTTTCATGTGTCATAAAATATTATTCTTTCGTTTGAAAACATAAAGACCATTTCTGGCTCACGGGCCACGCATTTCTAGCAGTGGGCCCCGGGTTCGGCCCACAGGCTGGACTTTGCTGACCCCTGGTCCAGTTCAAACCCCGTATCCTTCAGCATCTCCCCTTTGTCTTGTGGATTTGGATATAGACCTTAACCCCTGCACCCGGCACAGAGACGTAATAGGCGCTTCATAGGCATCTGTTATATCAGATGAAGGGATGTGCCAACAAACCAATCCTCAAAAGTGAGAAAACAGGAACTGCTCGAAAGGGCAGAGCAGGTTGCTGCAGTGTTTTGGCTCCTTAAGGTAAGGCTGGTTGACCTCTGATCTGCTATGAACTCCGAAACATTCAGACACAACTGGATCAGTGTGATGTCTCTGAACCAGTCTCTGGATAAAGTTTATGTTGCCTTTGCCTGTCTTCCAGAGCATGAGAGATTTTAAAAATATTTAACCACCAGCAAAGCATGGAAGCCAACCGATGGCATGAGCACTGAGTGGCCAGAGCCCTCTCAATGTTCTGCCAGGCATTAACGCTTTCATTGCTTGATCGTGAAGAAGTGTAGAAGGTCTTGAGAGCAACAGAGGGTACTCTTGAGGGGTTCAGGGTAGCAACTACTTAGCAACCAGGTGGCAGTGTTTCAATATTTAGGTGTATCAGCGGAACATCAGCTCTCTTCCCAAGTACTTCTGTTTCCTTAAATCTGGTGGAGTGGGAGAGCTGGGCCCAGGGGCAGACCCAACCCTGGGAGAGCCCTCCCTTTGTTGGGTTTCTACCCTCTACAAGGTACCCCATACAACCCAGGAGGTATGGGGCTCCCCACGGAAGCCCGCCTCAAAGCAGCAGGTGAGGGAAACAGGGAAGGAGAGAACAAAGACATCTCCGGATGTACTTCCTGTCTGAATCTCTTTCGAGTTGGATCTCTCTGCCATTTCCCTTAATGTCCCTGTCTTTTAACATCTTTGTCCCTTGCCCCCACCTCTGAAGGATATCTTCTTCTGAGTTTCATTGAGATCTACGTCTAAATGATTCCTTTTACACACACGTCACACTTAATACTCACAACTCAAGGACACAGGTGTGGAGGAAACTGGCTCACAGAGGTCAGATCATTTGCCCAAGGACACTCATCCGGTGAGTGGCAGAGAAGGGACTCCAACCCCAGACTGCTCAGTTTCAGAGTTCATGGGCTTAACCGCTACACTAAGACATAAATAATTGACCCGAATGATGGATTTCACAATGATTCAGCTACAGAGCTTAGTGACTTATTCCTCTTTCCACCAGTGGGTGAACCTGCCTCATGCTCCGGTTGGATTTGTGCCCAGGGAGCACTGGATCTTACCCAAGGACTTGAACACCGTGGTCTTTTCGCAGTGGGCTGGCTTCACTCCCTTCACCACTTCTCCCAGCTCAGCGAAGATCTCGGCCTGTGAAACAGACATACGCTGACCCAGGCATGAAGCTAAAGTCTGCTCAGGGTTGGCCTCTGAAGCCAGCACAAAGTGTCCCTGAACTGAATGAGGGATAAACTTAATAAAAAGATCATTTGGAAACCAGATGATATCAGGGAGGATGCCACCCCCTGAAATCCTTTCTGGGTAGCATCTGCCTTTGCGATGCCATGAATGCAGAGATCCAAGTTGGTGTCTGGAGCGCCGTCCTGCTAGATCAGCAGTCCCCAACTCTTTTGGCACCAGGGACCAGTTTCATGGAAGATAATTTTTCCACGGACTAGAGGAGGGAAGGGGATGGTTTCAGGATGATTCAAGCACATTACATTTATTGTGCAGTCAAACCTCTCTGCTAATGATAATCTGTATTTGCAGCCACTCCCCAGTGCTAGCATCACCGCCTCAGCTCCACCTCAGATCATCAGACATTGGATTCTCATAAGGAGCTCACAACCTAGATCCCTCCCATGCACAGTTTACAGTGGGGTTCGTGCTCCTATGAGAATCTAATGCCTCCACTGATCTGACAGGAGGCGGAGCTTATGTGGTGATGTGAGCGACGGGAAGTGGTTGTAAATACAGAGGAAGCTTCCCTTACTCGCCCACTCACCTCCTGCTGTGCGGCCCGGTTCCTAACAGGCCACAAACTGGTGCCAGTCCACAGCCTGGCGATCGGGGACTGCAGTGCTAGATCACTATGCCAGTGAGGAAGTAGACGTGTTTTTATTTAAACACGCATTTTAGCAGCCCCCTCCTTGCTTCTATGCCCTGATTACAACAGAAAAAGAAGGCCAGAGGTGGCTAACCACAGTCCTATTGTGCTGGCCATATCGGGACAATTTCCAGGCTAAAACAGGCTCCCATCCATCTCCCAATCCCACTGCATTACAAGACAGCCCACTGGAAAAATCCATCAAGCTTCTCCCTCAAGGCAAAGGAGATAGAAAAACATGTCATCATCATAATGGTCATATTATTCTGGAATGGGATTGAAAAGGGTTGCAAGATGTTCAGAAGCTCCTTCCCCATGAGGAAGTGGGGTGAATGAGGTCTGGAGCAGAAAGCTACTAGAACCCTGGGATCCAGGCGAGGACAGACAGGCTCACTCCTGACAGCAGGACATCTCCAGACTCCTTCAGGGCAGCCTCCCGGGAATCCACGTACAGCACGGCTTGCTTCATGAGCTCATCATCCAGCTCCCTCCAGTCGGGTCTGCTGGCTCCAATGGCTAAGAGACAGCAAAACAGACCCTAAGCCCAGAAGCAGTCCTGAGGGATAGTTAAGGGCCAAGGCATGGGAGACAGGTGAACAAAGGAACGTGGGAACACTCAAATTCGGGACACCTCCTTATTCCCCAGGCCAAGTCCCTCCCAATCAGTAAGGCTAAATACTTACTAAGAATTGTCTTCCTTTCCATTGCATACCCTGCCTCATTCCTGAAAGATTTCGAGATGACTTAGCATTCATTTATTGGGTGTCCACTATCTGTGGGCTGTTTTACACATAATATTTATGGTCCTCCCAAATACGCTTCAATGTCTGATTCCCATTCAACAGAGGCACAAACTGAGGCTCAGAGAAGCGAAGGTCCTGGCCTGGGTTACGTGTGTGATAAGCGAATCTAGGTCTGAGAGAGCACCATGGCTTTCCTGCCTCTTTGCTCATTGTTCCAATTGCTAGTGTATGTGCTGCCGAAGCAAGCATAGCTCTTCGCTTATCGAGAGCAGCAACTTCCTCGCAAAAAACCTGACACAGAGGTGTCACTTGGAGCTTGTTCATACCCCACACTTCTTTCCTTCTGTCAACTTGCTCTTTAATCATTCTCATTCCTTAAACCCAGCCACTTCTCTCTTAACTCATGATGAAGAGCCCAGTGTTAGGGTCATCAGAAGCCCCAATAAAAAGCAAACTGGCGCCAACCTGGCCCTGAGCTGTCACATCCTCTACAGGGTCCAGGACCAGAATGACCAAATCTAAGGCGTCATGCCTCCTGGCACTGGGACACAGGACACTGCAGAGGCTGCAACCAAATGCCTGCAGGGCCACACAGGTGATGAAAAGGAGCAAAGCTGCTCAGCGCGGCTGGATTTGAAGCAAGCAGGCCCTTCCAAAGGGGACAGTCATCATTCAGTTCCAGCTAATTGTTGCCATGTGTGTGAATGCAGGTCCATTGTTACCAGATATTCCCATTTTTTTAAAAAAAAAAAAGAAGCAGGAAATCTATTTGCATATGTTATTCCTTGATCTTTAGATCACTCTGTATTCCAAACAAAACACGTCTGCTGGCTGGAACCGGCCCATGGCCAGCAAGTCTTTGAAAACTGCTCTAAAGCCTTATACAAATATAAGGCAGCATTTATATGCCTTCTTGTACCGCCGTCCAGTTTTCTCTCCTTTTCCCCCTCTCCTGCTGTTCTCCCTTGCTCTACTTTCCAAAGAGAGTGGTGTAAAAATGTCTATCTTGAAGGTCGTTTGTGTGGGGAGTTCTATAGAACAAAAGCCCTAGCTACTGAGGCTCGTAAATAAATCATAAGCTGGTAAGGAAAATGCTCAGTTTCTCAGGCCACCCCTCCTCACTGCACTGTTCCCCCAGACAGCTGCTGCCCATGAAGAGGGCGAATTCTCAAAGGGTTGTGTGAGGCCACGCAGGCAGATGGAGGTGGGCCAGGCAGCAAAGGGAGATGCCTGACTCAGACTGGGCGCTGGCCTGGCTGCAGTGGGGCTAGAATGCGTAAGGGTCAGAAGACCGGTTGCAGTGGGGTCCTGGGGGCAGGAGGAAGGAAGTGTGGGGGCGGTTGGGATTGGGGTGCCCCTCAGCTCAGCTGTAAACTAAGAAAAATCTGTTGTTGGGGTTTCCCCCTTGCCTGCACTTGTAACACACTTTTCTTAAATATATTTGATGCCTCTGTGAACACACAACGCAATTTTGTGCCCAGGCCAGGGAAACATGAGAGATGCTTTGACTCAAAATCAAGTCAGCCCTTCCTGGAAAGAGATTCAAAGTGTGAGGGGGATCCAACACGAGGGAGAGTCTTTGTTGCTACCTTGAGGACAGAGGGTCCCCAAGACAAGGAATATGGGTCATTTCTGGGAGCTGAGACAGCCCCAAGGGAATGGGCTGCTTCCATGCTACAATGTAAGGAACTGGATCCTGCCACAACCACGTGAGTGCGGAAGAAGGCCCCGGAGCACCAGGTGAGATTACAGCCTGGATAACACCTGATTTCATCTTTGTGCAATTTGGACAGAAGACCCAGCTAACCCAGGCCCAGACTCCCAAACCACAGAAACTGTGAGATAATGTGTTTTAAACTGAAAAGAAAAAAGAAAAAATCAAGTCAGTGTCACTGAAGATTTGGCTGTGTCCTTGGGAAATCATTTCACCAAGGGCTGGCTCCTCTTGATTTTCCAAGTCCTTCCAGAAATGGTCTTATTGTCGATAAAGCCAGCCTTGACCCACCTCTTACCTACCAACTAAGTCACCTCTCACTCCCTGGACCCACATCCTAACACCAGCCCCATGCAGGCTGAGACCTTCAATTTATGTTGGCCCATTCCTTAAATGCCATGTTCACTACCAACCTCAGGGCCTTTGCACTTGCTGATCCCTCTGCCTGCAATGCCTTTCCTTCAGCTCTTGGCATGGCTGGCTCTTTCTTATCATTCAGATCACAGTTCAAAATCACCTCCTCAGAGAGCTACTCAGATAACTCTGTTGAAAGTACCTCCCTCTACTTTCACCTTCTATTTCCACTGTCGGGCTCTACACACAGCGTCTTATTTCCCTCACGGGACTCATCTTTAGCCAGAAGATCTAGTTCATCGATGTGTCTATTTGTTTGCTGTTTATCTCCCCTGACTAGAATGTAACCACCAAGAAAGCAGTGACCGTGAGTGCCTTGTTTGTTGTGGCGGCCCCAGTATCTAGAACAGTGCCAGGCACGTGGCAGAGATTTGGTGAACATTTATAAATGAATGCATAGTCATTTTCCTTGGCACTTGCCTGTTCATTTGTCTGCACCTGCAGAGCTCTTAGCTCCTGAGCCACTCCATGTGCTTGTCACTAAAACACGAGACATCGATACCATCTTTGAATCCTCTAGTCTTTGCCTGTTCCGCTCACCAGAATCCAGTCTTCTTATTGGAAGATATTATCAAGTATGATTTAAGAGCTTGGGCTCTGGGGGTAGATTGCCTCAGTTCAAATCCCAGCTCTGCCATTAAGAACCCCTGACTTTGGGAAAGTTACTTAATCTCTCCATGTCTTGCTTTACCCACCTGTAAAATGGGGGTCATGATATTATAATAATAATTCCTAAGGTAGGTAAGGATTAAATAACATAATACATAAAAAGAATTTAGAACAGCACCTGCAATAGTAAGTATTAAATATAGATCAGCTTTTGCTATAACCCACAGAGCCATCTGAAGGGCTTCAGAAGCCCAGGCGCCCTTATGTTTAGAGTCCCCTCGCCTCCCCCTCATCCTATCACACATACTAAAAACCATCCACATGTCACATGATGTGTCTCTTGTACTGTAATTTTTTTCGAAAAGTTTTTTTAATAATTCTAAGTGTTGTTAAGAACAAATGATTCATTTGGTCTTTGGGACTGAAACCTCATCACATTTAAGAATTGAGCTGTGATTGACCATTTGCCATAATGTTACATTTTATAGAACATTAATTAATTAAGTAGATGTTAGTTTCAGGTTTGTAATTTCCTTTTCATATTTGGGAGTGAATACAGTCTTTTGGGGCTCACATGTTTCCAAAGCCCTTACAAACCTTGGGCATTCTGCATCATGAGTAAGCCAGCTCTGCAGATACAGCCCCTTGGTCCGGTCTGGGGAGGAATCTGGCTACCACCTAGCCATGGCTCGTGGAGCGACTCTACTTACCATTGATGTGAGCCCCTGGCTTTACCCATTCACCAAACAAAATGGGCTCTGTTGCCATGGTGACTGTGATGATCACATCTGCACCTGTCACAGCCTCCTGGACCGATGAACAGACCCGTACCTCCCCTTGCACTGTGTCTGCAAACTTCTCTGCATTTCCTCTGGTGCGGTTCCATATCCTCACCTTCATTGGGGGTAACAAGAGGGACATTAGTGCCATTTTTTGGCTGCTTATGTTACACCAAACCTAGGGATGCTAAGGGAAAGTTGAACCACTCTGGGACTGGGGCTGTGGTTACTTAAATCATTCCCTAGGGTGAATGGACATTTGATCAAGGGTACAGCATTAGCTGGGACAGATAGTTGGCCAGATGTTTGAAAATGAGCTTTATCTACCACTTTCCCCTTTAAAGAAGGCTGGAAGTTTTTCAGTTCTAAGCCAGGACACACAGTCTAAATAGCTTAATAGTTACTAAATAGCTTAATAGCTATTATGTAGTGTAATGATTAGCAGAGCAAGTTATGGAGCCAGGTAGACTTGGAACCAATCCTGACTGTCACTTACTAATAGTACTTTATCTCATTTAACCTTAGTTTTCACATCTGTAAAATGGGAATAACTGGGCAAGGTGGGTGTCAAAGTCATACTTTATGTTTGAAACCTTGTAAAGGAATTGAACCAGGTGTGAGATTCATAAAAATGATTACTTATAGTGGTGCTTTGCATGGAGTAACTTGGTCTCTAAAGAGTAAGCAGGAAATTAAAGATCAGAAGGGTCTGAAGGTGAATGGTGCAGCCAATGACAAGGCCAAGAGTGGTAGCTACAGTTGGAATCCTGGGGGATGCTGGGGCGGGATGGGAGTAGGGTGTCACTGGCCTCACCAGGAACTGGGGACTTGCTGGCTTGCTTAACAGGCTTCTATGTTTGGGCCAGGGGTTTGCCAGGCTTCAATTGAAAATAAGGCCTAAAGAATCTCTTATAATAAAACATAACAAATATAGAAATAAACTCTATGTCTCAGTAAGATCGTCAACCAAGATGAAAAACGATACATTTTGCCCAGTCATAAATGAATGGTTTAATCACGTTGTCCTTCTTGATGGAAAACTATGCAAATAATATGCAAAACTTAGATAATCTGGCAAAGCGATGATGTTAGAACATGACATTCCGTGAGAAGACAGGATATACAACTGTGCGTATCTAACATGATTAAAACTGTGTTATAAAAAGCTGATGAGAGAAGAATGGGACATATTCACTGCTTGTCTTTAAAAACAGATAAAAGGGCATTTTTTTCTTTTATTTTCTTCCTTATAGTCTGTATTTCCCAATGCAGAGGTATTATTTTTATCATAAAAAATCATACTTTGAATCTATTCCACCCCTCTCATATGCATACATAAAATATTAATAAAGTAAAAATAGCATCGAACATTCCCAGGAGGAAGCATGAGCCATGACAGAGAAAAGGTGGACCAGTGTGTAGACTGCAAAACCAGGCTGCTGTGGCCTCCTGGTCTCTAGGCCTCGCCCCCAGTTCCTTGATCCATAACCTTGACTACTTAAAAACTCCCAGTTTCTACTAAGAAAAACATAGGTGCTAAAAGGACAACTGAATGTATACAATGGACATAATAGAATTCTTTAACTAACTGCATAGGCTCCCAGAATCCTCCAGCATACGCCCTGTGACCTGAGAATCTGGAAAGAGGTGATCCGATCTCCTCACTCTTCCCCTGACATCACCTTGACTGGGGCTTCTGGGGAAGTCATTAAGGTGAAATAATGGTCTAGACCAGACTCACAACCTAATTATTTCAGAATAACCCGTGGTGCAGTGAAGAAGTACAGACAGAGGTCACTGGCTCCCTTCCCTCTTCTCTGCCCAGCCCTGCCCCTGCACTTACCTCCTTAAAGGAGAACTGCTCTGCGAAGATCTCATAATGGCTGTAGGCCTGGACCCCAGCCCCAAGGATGCACAACACTTCACTGCTGGGGGGTTTCAAGAACTATTCGAGAAAAATGAGGTGGAAAAGGTTAAGGTAGACACCAGCAGCTGGGTAAGAACCAAATATAGTTTGAATATCAGGTGACTTTCTCTCCATCATTGGCTCCCTCAGTAGCTAGTGGGCAATCAAGGAAACGTCATTCTGTGTTTCATTTTCCCCACTGTAGAGTTAGGAGGGGAAGGAAGGAGGCTTCATTGAGCACCTAATATATGCCAATGCTTTACCTGCATGATCTCATTTGGTCCAGACAATGGCCCTAGGAGCTAGAGATTTGTATTGTTATTTTCCTCTTCAAGATGGGGAGATTGAGGTCCAGAGAGGTTAAGTAACTTGCTCAGTCCTACAGCAATGCAAGGGCACAGCACGGCTCCAAAGCCACATCTTCCACACTCCAAAGTCCATGTCCTTTCTCCTGCGCCAGCCCACCTCAGCTATGAGCTAAGCAACCCCCACGTCTCAGAGCCCAGAGCTACTTCTAACAGCTACCTGGAACCCATGAGCCCTGCTTGCCTGGGTTCTCAGCTGTACGTGCTGGGCCCAGTCTTTGTGGATCCTTTCGCAGCCTCTATCTTCCTTTAAAGATGAATGTAGAGCTGGCGTTTGTGGCACCTCCTGAGGGTGTATGCGTGTCTGTGTTGGAGAGTAGGCTTCTGTGGTCAACTCATATCAAGTGTCGCCGCCCCACTGAAGTCTTTCTGACCTCCTTGGTAGAATGCACCATACCACAGCACTTATTTGTTTATAGATCTAATTTCCTGTATTGGTCTTTAAGCCCAATGAGGACAGAGGCAGTCTTATTTGCATAGGATTGGTATATGCCCACTCTGATTTACGAGAAGCAGCTCTGCGTTTCTCAACCTCGGCACTACTGACGTTTGGGCCAGATAATTCTTTGTTGGGAAGGGGAGCTGTCCTGTGCATTATAGGATGCTTAACAGCGTCCCTGATCTCTACCCCTTAGATGCCTGTAGCACTTCCCACCTCCTCCCCCAACCCCCAGTTGTGACAACGAAAATATCTCCAAATATTGCTAAGTATCTCTTGGGCAGGTGGCAAAATCATGCTTAGTTGAGAATTACTGGCATAGAGGAAAGACACCACTTGCCCCTCACACCATAGTGTTAAATAAGACTCTCTTCTACCTTTTCTCTATTTCATTTGATAAAATTTGAGCTCCTTGGGTCTGTTCCTTTTTACAATGCTACTTATTGAAATTCTGGAGCATAACCTTAAAAGCGAAGTCTTAAGTGAAAAGTTTTCTTAACTATTAATTACTAGCAAAAAGATGTCTCTGAAATATCATGAGTTAATCACGTCTCTTGCAGCTACAGAAGGAGAGAGACCATCCTGTGCCGTAGAATATAGTTCAAAGAGTATGATTTAAAAAGGTTTCAAAATGACAGTATGCACAAGACTAGCAATATTACGCTCCTGTCCGATAAGAATAATTGGTTGATTGTTCCTTAACTGTTACCGTTTTTTTCAGTTTTCAGTTCATAGGAATCTATTCTTGCAAGTGTACTTGAGAGTCAGAAATTGTTACAGTGTCCTGTAAAAGTAACCTTCAACCTCCAGAACTAAATCTATCATTCTGATTGCTTGCCTTACTTGATAATTTGTTGCCCTGGTAATAATTGACATCTCTTTTCTTAAATGGTATAAATGTTTACAAGATTTATTAAATCATAGTAAGATTAGTGGCACTTCAGTCTTTTCCCATAAGCATGCAGGTAATTAAAAACATGCATATGAATGAATCTGCTAGGTTTCTCATTTGAACAGGAGTTTGAAAGTCTGTTTCATTTGCCTTTGTCAAAACCTTGCACTGTAGGTCTGGCCCTCCCATCTCTCCAGCCCCCTCTCATGCCATGCTCCCTTGCACTTCCCCTCTTCCAACTGCCTCCTTGCTTTTTCCCAGCACACGTGCTTTCTGCAACCACAGGTTTTTTCCTCTGCCTAGAATGCTTTCCCCCCTGCCTCTCATGAGTAACTCTTATTATCCTACAAATCTCAGCTCCAATATCCCTTAAATAGGAAAAGCCTTCCCGAACTCCACCGGTTAGATTAAGAGTCCCCGTTTTACACTCTCATAGCACTAGTCAGGGTCGTAGTTTCACATTTATTGGTGTGATCTTTGGATTACTATCTTGTCTCTGCCACTGGATCCTGCTCCAAGACGACAACACTGTTGTCTGGTTTGCTCCCGATTCTTTGCTTCGTGCTGAGCACAGGGCCTTGGAACCTGGTGGACACTCAAATATTTGTTGAATAAATGCTTGCCAGGGATACAGCCTGATACATACTGTCACCTTGAGAAAGCACATCAAAATCCTCAACTAAGGTCACGTGAAACCCGAATACAAAGAAGTTATTGTGTCCATCGGGCCCCAGAGCTTCCTATACTTCTCATCCTCCCCCCAAAAGCCCTAAATGAAAGAGAAGTGGTAGACAAGAAAATAGTCTACTCTCATTAAGGCAAAAAGCAAAATAGACCCTTTGTTCCTTATTGAAATAGCCCGTCCAAGCCGCTGGAGATAAAGCCGTGAAGTTTCGGCCTTCACTTTGAAGTGTCAACCCAAGGTTTCTCAACTCTTGTGGGAGTACAGATTTTTAGTAATGCAACAAAGCACAGTGTTACTGAAGGCTAGGTCTTCAGCAGTGTCGTTTCCTAACTGGGTTATCATCAGAATCAACTATGGGCTATTTTTTTTTTTTAAGGCTAGTTTTCTGGGCCTCACTCTCAGTGATTTTGATTCAGTAGTTCTGGGAATTTGAATTAAAAAATTCAAATGCAGCAGATGCTGCTGCACAGTTTGTGTTGGAAACTACTGCTCTGGGACAAGAAGACCACAGAGCCTCGGAAGAACCTGCAGGTACCTGGTTGTTTGGCTTCGGGAAACCCTAGTTTCCATTTCATTTTTGTAAAATGAAGCCAATAATACTTGCTCTGCCTTCCTCACAGAAACTCAAAGTCCTTGCAACCTCTGTGGAAAGCAATATGGAGATACCTTAAAGAGATACAAGTAGAATTACCATTTGATCCAGCAATCCCATTACTGGGCATCTACCCAAAAGAACAAAAGTCTCTCTATGAAAAAGACACCTGCACTCGAATGTTCATAGCAGCACAATTCACAATTGCAAAGATATGGAAACAACCCAAGTGTCCATCAATACATGAGTGGATTAATAAAATGTGGTATATGTATACCATGGAGTACTTATTCAGCTTTAAGAAATAACGGAGATATAGCACCTCTTGTATTCTCCTGGAAAGCGCTGGAACACATTCTACTAAGCGAGGTATCCCAAGAATGGAAAAACAAGCACCACATCTACTCATCATCAAATTGGTTTCACTGATCAACACTTAAGTGCACATATAAGAATAACATTTATTGGATGTTGGGCAGGGGGAGGGGGGAGGAGGGGATGGGCATATGCACAAACAATGAGTGCGATGCGCACCTCCTGGGGGATGGACACACTTGAAGCTCGGACTTGGGGGGAAAGGGGGGCAAGGACATCATATGTAACCTAATCATCTGTACCCCCATAACATGCTGAAATAAAAAAAAAAAAAGAAAAGAAAAGAAACTCAAAGTCCAGGCAATGGGTTGGAAATGATTTTGAAGAACACCAAAGTCCTTTACAGATGACAGGTAATATTATAAGACTCATTCTGTTCCTAAAGTACTAGCAAGCATAGCAAAATGTCCCTTGATGATTTCTCTCTGAGTCGGCTCTGGATATAATGAAAAACCAGTTCAACAAGGTGGGTTATGTAATCTACACCCTATACAATTACCAGATTAATCCTCACATTCTTCCCTCCCCATCATGTATCTACAAAACCTTAACATACAATCTGAACACCTGGTCTTTGCTGTTCCAACCTTTCCCTGGATTACCACGTTTACTTTATGCTTAGGAAAATCAGCGTTCCAAGACCTGTGCTTCTCCGTTTAATGTGAAAGATTCCAGACTCCAAATGTTCCCATGGAAGCCTGTTTTGTAAGCCTCTTCTTAACTTTAACCTCTAAAAATACTGTTTTTCTTGTAGGATGCCTCAACACTGCTTAGGAACATCGTCACCCCCACTACTTGCTGTTTCTTCTGCCTGGAGGACTCCTCCACATTTTTGCATGGCTCGCTCACTCGCCACTTTCAGTTTTACTCAGATGTCACCTTCTCAGTGAGGTCTTTTCTGGACAATTCAAGATGACCCACCCTCTCCCACCCCCTCCAAGACTCTCCATTCCTCTTTATTTTCATCTTTCCAACATACTATGTGGCTTTAGCATAACCTTAAAAGCGAAGTCTTAAGTGAAAA